ATGACGAGACCTATTACCATAAGAGAGAATGCTAATCAAGGGAGAGTATTTGCGCTTGTCCTAAGAGACACTTAGAACACTAAAATCACTATCTCAGATACCTTAACTATTTGTGAATATATGCCTATGTGTTAAATGATTCTGGGCCCATATATATATATATACCTTTGCTCGAAATGATTTACTTAACTTAACCTGTTTAAATTCAAGCAGACTATTTGACTAGACTATTGGAACCATGATTGTGTGATCATATGATATGTTTGAAGACCCCAAATAATGAACTCTGTATTATGTACAATTGCGTACTTGTATACCTACATGTGAAACTGTTTTGAGAAATGTTGTATGACGTGATACCTATTGATATGAACTATCATGATATATTTTGAGAACATATGAACTTTATACATATTTTGAAACTATCAACTGTGTACCCAAGCGAATTGATCGTAACTTCCGGGACTAAATGCATGTTGTTTGGAAATAACGGGATAGAACCTTTATCTGATTTGATTTTGTTTACGAGGGATTGTGAATTGCTTATGAATGAATAACTAGATTATTATTGCCAAGGGAATTGATTAACCAAGAACTTGAGTTTGCTATTAATGTTTGAACACTTAATTTGTCTCAAAGACCTTATGTGGACTGTCAATAGCAGACTATTTTGATTATGGACACTATTTAGAATTAAATCTTCAACTGTTTGAGAATATGTATATGTTATAGTTGAACAAAATTGTACAAAGTTCAGTGATTGATCATCTTCGAGATTGGCTGCTTCAGTATGACTGCATTTTACATTTGGTGCTTTGGCAATATGTGAAGTATGTAAGTCAAAATCCACTTTAAGTATGTAAGTATGATTTTGCCATGTTTTACCAATTTTGAGTTTAAATTCTATTATCCATGTTGAATTGGAAGCTAATTTGCACATGCATCTTTGATTTCTAAAACTTCAAGCGTTTTACTTCATGAATTTGAGAGTTAAGTTCATATTTTGATGAGTTTTGAGCAACGAGTTGCAAAAATCTTACAAGCATGGAGTTTTGGTTTGCATTTTTGTTAATTAAAGAGATTTTGAGCAAATGTTTTTAGAAGGGTCATGTATTTGAGTTTTCTAAAGTAATTCTATGTTTTTAAACAAGCCATGCATGACCCTAAGCTTTGAATTGGTGTTTGGAAGCTCAAACTTTCAGTTTTGAAATCCAAAATTTTTACAGTCTGCTCGAGCGACCAAGTGGTGGCTCGAGTGAACATTGCAAGCTTCTAGTATCTTTGCAGTTTTACAAACAGCTCGAGCAACCAAATGTTGGCTCCAGTGCACATCAAACCCATCCAGTAGTTTTGCACACATCTCAGACCGCTTGAGCGACCAAATGTTGGCTCGAGTGAATACCTCTGTTTCAGCATATTTTGGAAAGATGCTTTGTGTTCATATCTTCGTCTTCATGTCTTTCTGAGCATTCCTAGGCATGAAATAGGACTCATTGAGGATTAATAAGTATGAAACCAACATAAGTAAATGAATTAGAAAAGAGAAGATAAGTTATTTGATTCGAACAATGTGTATGGTTATGTGAATGTGTAGGTTAGAATGTTAAGAAAGAACATTGAACTAGTCAAGGTGAGTAATGTCTTTGTAAAGATATTTTCGTATAATCTACTTTGAAATTGACTTTGCTATACGATGAATTATGAAATCTATGCTTTGTTACGAGATATTTAATAAGATAAATATTTTCCGAAACGATGAGATACGCTATGAATTTCCATTATGATTATGATGTAATTGATATGTTATGAAAACTCCGAGTTGTGTACGTTATGATATGTTTTCCAAAAATAAGATTTTTGCTAAGAATGAATGAGTTTCCTTTTGAAAAACTATCGTGACAACTTAGAAATTGTATTGTGATCTCCGGTAACTTCCGTTTTGTCTTTGAACCATCATGTACATTCCATCTAAGTTATTGACTCGTTGTAAATGTTCTATATGATGTCAATCTTTGATAATCATTTTGCATGGCTTCAATAGTAATTGTTCCATATGATATCTACCCGTAATAGACGTTCCGAATGAGCCGTCCAAAGAGGGTGTTCCGCATGAGCCGTCCAAAGTGGGCGTTCCATATGGTTTCGATGGTAATCGTCCCATATGATTACTATACGTGATAAACGTTTCGTATGAAGTCGTCCAATGTGGGCGTTCCGTATGAGTTCATCCAATATGGGTGCTTCGAATGTAGTCATCCTATATCGATGTTCCGTATGAGGCCGTCCCATATGGGCGTTCAGATTGATTTGTTTCACTGTGAACGTTTCGTATGGTATTCTGTCAAGTTTTAGTAAGGCTTTTGGGAACTATGCAATGTGTTAACCTATGAAAGGCTTGACGGACTGTATTTGTTATTATACATCTTCAAAACATGCTTTAACTATGTCAAGAACTTTGTATTGTTTTGATAAGATATTGAACTCATTCATTTAATCTCTTTACATTGAGATTACTCATTGGACTTCCAGTTCACTCCGTTTATATATATGTATGTAGGTAAGCATCAGGGATTTCAACATTAGAGACTGCTTTGGAGTCAACCCCTTTTTGTGAATCCACCCGAGATGTGCCTCCATGTCGAGGCCTTAGCTTTTGTTTTGGCCAAGCTTGCGAAGCTTTGGTTTTGTATAGTTTGTTATGTTATAGTTTTGATCTTGGGTTATGTATACATGATGAATGTTTGATTATATGTATGATGTGAGATGTGTTATGGGTTATGTATATTTTTGTTCATGTCATGTAAGCATAACTCAATAGACAAATTTTGTATTCTGCTTCCACTTCAGGCCCTGTACATTTAATTATATATTTTGAAGGCCGGGTAATCTGGAATTATTAGCCGGTCATGATCCAAACCTCTAGGAGCGAGTTCGAATTGTGACAGCACCTTACAAATTCATTTCATACTAAACATTAAAATGGTGCCAATGAAACACAATCAAAACCACCATTGATGCTTTCATCATCATGTTCAATGCCTCCATCTTCATTTCTCGATTCATGAGTCTTCCATTAAAGTGCATGTAGGCTTCACCTTCTTGAACTCGGTACTTCTTATCAATCTCATCTACTCCATAAGTGGGAGCAAATTCAACTAGGTTTCCAAGCTCAGAAATCACAACCCGCAAAACCCCCATTTTCACACACATGGCACAACATACTTTTCGAAGGTTTCTTGGACTCTACCACTCTAATGGCTGCTCTTCTTCTTTTCTTTTCTTTTTTCCACAATGACATTTCTTGTTGATGAACCTCAAGATTTGTGCTTCCCTACCACCCATATTGCTTGAAGACGACATTTTTGTTGAGCAGAGTTAGCTGCAACTTGACATAGAGAGGAAGAAGGGTGTAAAAAAGTCATGTATAAGCTTTTATTTCTAACTATAGGTGTATTTTAGTCATTTACTTTAGAGGGAAAACCATATTTTCATGCTCATTTACACATTATGCGCGTGTAATGCATGGGCTCTTAGACTAGATGGAAATGCTAACTGTGCACTTCAATCCAGTAATCACAGAGAAGTTATGTAGTGATTTCTAAATATCCGGAGGGTAAACCGCACGTGCCCCAAACCATAGAGGGATAAAGTGAGGTTTGCTAAAAAATTTAATAATAACTCACATCTTATATGTATGTAGATGAAGAAGCAAGTTGTAGGAACATTATTTTTGTAAACGATTTGTGTATATGTGAAATAGAAAGAAAGTTGTGTTGAGGATTTTGCAAAAGCCTTGGTGGGCTGTTTTGGTTTGGACAACTAAAGTCATATGTTTCCTTCCTCCTCCCAAAGCATCAGTTGCTTGAAGATTTAAACGCCTCCACATTTAGGGCAATTCTTAAGTGTGTAAATACATACCACATATATTTGTGTAATTTTTTTATAAATATACATAAATTATTTTACAAAATTATATAAGTTTTCACAAATATACATAAGTTAATTCATAAAAAATTTAAAAAATCACAACTTACGTATATTTATGAGAATTTATGCAATTTTATAAAGTAACTTACGTATATTTGTAAAAACTTACACAAATATATATGATATGCACCTTACATATCCAAACACTTCTGCCACATTTATTAGTCACTAATCTTTGAATTTAAAAACAAATTGAATAATCATGCTTTTTTATTTTGTATTTTGACAAGAATAAATAATAATTTTAATTTGCACCCTCGGATTTTATACCCAATTTCATTTTGTTTTCGGGTTTTTAATTGTGTAAAGTAAACCCCTTTCAAATCAAGTTATAATTTAGTCCATTTGTATTATGTTATTTTAAAAATTAACAAGAACAACCACATGATAGTATTAATTAAACTCAACACTCTTACACTATTATCAAAAATTCTACTGTAGTCCTTAATTTTTTTTTTTGAAATGTTAGTTGTTAGATTAACACCTATGAGAGAAAATCTCCCCACCCTTGGCAAAACACCAAAGTGTGCTTGCACACTCATAGTTTAATTCTCCTAAAGAGAATTGAACCCATGACCTCCTTGAAACAAAGCACTAAAAAAGACATGGTGACCATTTAGGCTACGCCTAGCTGGTTCTGTAGTCCTCAAATTTCTCGTACTTTTATTAAAATCTTATTTTAATCCCTCCACTTTAGTCCCTCCATTAATTTTCTAAATGTCCTGAGACAATTGTAACTAAACTTGAAGTTTAGAGATTAGCTAGAATAATTAAAAGGTGAAGAGACAAAATGAGACTAGATATAAAATAGAGAGGTACAAAATGACCCAAGAATAAATTTTATTCGCTTAACAGTTTAGGCTGATACAAGTAGAGTACCTCTTCCCTTCCTTTCATCAGTCTTTAAATTTAAAGCTGGTTACCTATTCGTTGCTTGTTTTTTCTTTATTACATAAACTGCATTTTCTTCGTCCTAAGATAGCTTTACACTTGCATTACATAGCTGCTTTAAATTTCCATAAATAAACAACAATTCTTGCACCTAATATTCTTACAAGAAATTCATATATATACACTCCAATCTCTGACAAACAAATTTTGAATTTACAGGAAGATATTAAAAGAAAATTAAAATATATAAACCAAAAAAGAAACCAACTTATTTGGCACTTGAAAGATGAACAGTAATTGCAAAAATGTATATACAGGTTACTTACTATAAATAACTTCAAACCTCACATCTCAGATAAAAGGTTGCTAATTTTCCGAAGCTCCTTGAGAGCTCCCATGGCTGTGATTTGTCCTTTGCCCACTATAACATTTTTACAGTAGTTCTCCAATGACCCCATTTCATCACACTGCTCTTGCTGGAGAACTGACTCGATTACCTGCAATGCAAATAATTAGATCAAGCTTACTGCACTAGTCTCAAAAACAAAAGCCAGATAAGGTGAGTAGCAACGAAAGATGAGCAATAAACCTACGATATTTTACTAATCAAAAAATAAAACCTATGGTATAAAATAAAATAAAATAAACAGCTTCTAATTTGTGGTTCTCAGGAAACTCGTTTCACACGAGGATGAGCAATTCAGGGGATGTGTAGACTTGTTTGCTACATAAAATATCTGACAAAACATAAAATTTTGAGACAACTTCAGCATGTAGTACGAATTGAAACTAGTACCATAGGTAACAAGACAGGTAAGATCGTGTCAAATTATATGGAAAAAGTTCAAACCATGCTTCCTCATACAATCTTTTTTTTTTTTTTTTTTTTTTGCGATAAATAAATATTTATTATCAAAGCATCAAGGAGATGCTGAAAGAATACAAAAACCAGACCCTCAAAGAGGGACCTAACCTACTAAATCATCCACAAAGTCTAAAACAGCAAATAAATTAGGATATACTCGACCCGACACCCAACTGTACGAAACACCACAAAAAAGAGACTGAAGCTGAACAATCGATTGAGCCCGCCCTTGGAAAACCCAACGATTCTGCTCCAACCAAAACAGTCACATCAAACACAAAGGAGCTCGTCCAGGCTCTCCGCCGGCACTTCCCAACTCGACCACTCCCCCCAACAACCAAGCACATCCAGAACTTGCTTGGGTTGCACCCACACCACGCCAAACAGAGAAAAAAACAAGCACCCACAAGCGAGAAGCAATCGGGTAGTGAATAAGCAAATGATCCACTGTCTCCGCATCCACACAACACATGCAGCACCAATTAACCAAAATATGATGCCCGCGAATCAGATTATCAATAGTCAATAACCTACCAAATGCTTCCTCATACAATCTTGTAGCAAACTTACTAGGAAACACTGATTCCACATCTAAAATGTCCTATTATATCAACAAATTTCTCACTTGAGTTTTGGCTAGAAAGTATAGAGTTTAAGTTGCAGGATGAATTCCCAAAATGAGCATCAATCTTATCAGTTTCAAATAAATACTTTCACAAGCCATTAATCCACTTTTACTTTCTATTATTCATATATAAAATCCACAGTGACCACCTAAGCAATAACAATAGTAAGATTATTACCTGAATATTCTCAAGCATGGACTGACCAAGATTCCTCATTGTAATCATCAAATTCTGGTCAACAGAATCACCTTTGCTACTCTCAGATGAGTTATTAAAAGAATTCACCCTAGAAGAGGCTACTACTGTATTATTCTGATCACTTCCACCATTGGAAGCTTTTTTAGCTTCAGAGACACCTCTTTCAGATGTCCCCTCTCCACTATTCCGTCCCTTCTTCCACAACCAATGGAATTTTCCAGACATAGGCTTCCTCTCCTTCATAGCTGCCACTGGTTTTCCCATAGTATCATTATTCTGTCCACAGTTCAAAGAGACATCCTCTGGAGAATCCAGTCTAGCAGTCATTGTTTTTCCTTTAGAGTCTTCATTCAATACAGATTTAGAAGAGACACCCTCTGGAGAATTTGAAACTGGAGGAGGCGGGTCCTCCGCAAGGGTCCTATGTAACTCAGCATTGTTTCGTTCATCATCATTTTCATCAACAGATAGATTGGATGTAACACTACTTTGTTCTGATTGAATTTCATGGACATTACGATTTGGTGAATTTGAGAAAATATAAGAGTTCTCTTTGCTGCCAGCATTTCCATTCAAATATCTATCCTCAGCGGAGCAAGCGAAGTTCTTACCATTACTATCTTTCCCATGCACCTCAACCTCTACAGAGGGAGGATCTTTCTGGCCTGAGTCTTCATTATACCTTATTTTTTCTGAATCTTCATCCAACCCAAGCTGTTGGGACAAATCATCCAACAAATTTCTCCTCACAGATAACTTGGGGTCCATTTGGCTGCTGTCAACCTTTGGTGGGGATTGGGCAGATTCAGTTCTAGAAAGACTCAATCTCATTTTCTCTGTCCAACCCTTTTTGCGCTTAGGAACTTGTTTCTCTGAACCACTTTGCTTAAGTTCTTCTGCCTTGTGCAGATCTCTCCACTTGTCTTCCCAATAGCTCTCAGGTACCAAACTGAGGGGAGTTCTTGGAGAAATAGAACCTGTCGAAAGGCTATGACCTCTCACAACCACCGATTTACTTCGGCCAAGGCCCCCAGTAGATACCGGCAATGGGACTGAGTTATTAGCATCCGGTGCTAGAGCGTGCAACGATTTTGCCTTCACTATTAGTTTCTCCAGATTTATGTTGGCTGGAAGGTTCAGCAATCTCTGAAGACAGGAAGTAGCATTCTCAGTAGCAAGCAGGGAAGACCTCGTATACAGTATCATTGAAACTGCAAAAGCTGAGATGAATGCTCCCCTAGGTGAACTGAGGACCCTGAAGCTGGAGCCAGCGTCATCAACACATTTATTTAACTTTAATTTACTATTATCAGATGCAAATATTTCATCCCAGATTATTAAGAGGTCTTCAAGTGAAAATTCACGCCCAAATAAAACCCGTAGCCAGCGGAGGGCAAAGTACTGAGGTTCTACCCCAAGCTCAACAAGGTGACTGTGGAGAGACACATCAACAATAGATAGCAAATGGTACAATGCAGAAGAAGCTTCAATAACAGAAGTCAACCCAGTATGTGAGCCACCTAAAGGAGAAGGTGAGAAAAATTCTGCCATAGCAACTGCACCACCGGCTCCACTCATCAAAGCATCAAACATGCAATGAGCATCATGCTCCAAAAATTTCTCAGACAAAACAATACCCAATTCACCTTCTGCCCCATAAGCATCACTTAGCAATACAATGTCTTGTGTCTTGGGATCAAGTTCATCGAGACTGCTAACCTTCAGTCCACATTTTTTTGATTCAATCTCATCTTCTGTAGATTCAGAAAACTTCTTCAAATCAAAATTATGTGCTAAATCACTTTCATAAAATGTGGAGCCATCAAATTTATCAATGAAGTGGTCTTCATAAAGATTACGCACGTCAGAAAGATGCTCCACATCAGTATGCAGAACATATAACAGAGGAGCCAAGAGTTCATGCATTCCTGTTCACAAAACCAGAAGGAAAGGCATAAGGAATAATGCTACGAAAAGAACTCTCATAGAATACATAACTGGGACACATGTACATATATGAGTCCCCAGAGGATCCTTTTCTGTGTCCTTTTACAAGTGGTTTTGATAATTCACTGAATAAAAAAAATCACATCTAGGATGAATAACTACTACAGACTATGTTATAGGTAAAAAATAATTAACTTTAAATCTCAAGTAGTATTGTTTAATATGGACTCATGCTGGCAAGCACCAGAAAGCTTGTATCTCTCTGGCCTACATCAGACAAGCTAACCATAAGTCCAGAAGACTGAGCTTACATTGTTCCTTTCAGTTAGACCATTTCCGGAAAGAGTTTCCAACCTCACAAGTTCAGTGGAATCATAAATTGTTTCTTCTGTTTTTAGTATGATGGAGGATCAAGACACCTTTATTAACATCGTTCCACAATCTAATATTACTGCATCATCCGCGTAGGGTCTACCCCTTGGAAATAATTTTGGCACACAGAAGCAGTCCTCTGAGGAAATGACAATAGACGGAATGCACATAAATTTACAACAAGGGAGCCATAAGTGGCGTTCACATTTCATTTTTCGGCAAATATCCTTGTCACAAAATTATATGGAGTTTTTACAAAGTTACAAGCAACCAGAAACTGTTTTCCACACCTTAAAATTGCAAAGGCAAGTGATAAAATTTCTTCCCTCCAACCAGGGAGGTATCCTCATTTGTTGGTGTCTCCATTCTACACCATTTTGGGAGGTTGTATGGACCAAGTCCTACTCAACTATTTTCACTAGGATTAGCCTTTTCCACCCTAATCGATGAATGATGCATCATGAACATCATAATAGTTTGGAGTCAAGTGCAATACGTATTATTTCAGTTGCCACAGAAAGATTTATTTCTTTCCTTCTGACCAGAAGAAACAGGAAAGGAAACATGTTCCATTCTGTATTTACAAATTTCATATGCATTACCATTGTTCACCATGAACAAAACTGAAAGTCCCACTTTTCAAGGTGAGATGTGAATTTCATGATTCAAGAGGGAAAAAAAAAAAAAGGAAGTGATGACATACAAACAGAAAATTCATACAAAATCTTCTTACAAAATGATGTGGCTCAATAAGGACCTATCACTTTAAAACAAATCACCCATGAAGATGCCTTATGAAAATGACACTGCCACATCATTTTTGTAATGTTTTATGTATGAATAGAGTTTTCCAAAAACTAAAAACGTATCTGAAAGATGAAAGGAAACTTTATTTCTTTCCATCTGACCAGAAGAAGGCAAGGAAACATATTCTATTATGCATTTACAAATTTCATACGCATCATCATTGTTCAACGTATGTAATTACCCAAAAAATATGAAACAAAAAGCAATGGGAAAGTCATGATTGAAGCCAGTCAACACTAATAACCCACCTTGTCTGTAGCCATACTCTGGATGTCTAAGACACCATAACAACAAAATTCTTCTCAACATGCTTTGGCATCCCGGTGTCTGGAAGTAGCTTCCGTGTTCAGGATATAAACGAGACAAATCTTGGTCAACCATTCTCTCCAATTCAGCATTCCGAAAGAAGCGACCCCACATGCTATCTGGACAAGCTCAATCATAAATCTAATTATGAGTACTGTTACAAGCAATGTATTATAGTGCTTTTGATTGTTCTTGCTTTCTCTTTCCTGCACAGTGGACCTTTTCTTTTGTTTTCTTTGCTTGGGCAGGGAGAGAGCATGGGCCATTAGGATATGAGATGCAACTAACATTGTTGATAAATATATATATAAAAAAAAGTCTTGATCAGTAACCATGGGAATAGCAACAGTTGCATCGAGAATGAAATCTATCTTGAAAGTATCTATATAATAATATAAAAAGGGAGAACACCAGTTTGGTGTTACCCTCAAAATTGAAGTTCTGTGGATTTTTAGGTTTCCTATATTAGCCTAAGAAGATTAATTTATCATACATTACTTAAACAATCTTTGCATATTTATTCAAGGGTAAATATGTAAACCCATAATTATAGATAACTACCTAAGAAGCATAGACACAGACATGCGACATGATACGAATATGACATGAACACAATGACAAGCCAATTTTCAAAAAATACAAAACACAACACGTGAAGGATATGCATGAAATATAAAATTTTATATATTTATTATATATCATATATATTTAAATGTATCATTCAAAGATAATAAAAAATACAATATGATAGTAATGCCTATAAATTTATATGATTTTTCTTTTATTGTTGTATCTTAAATTGTTTTGTTCAATCTTATAATTAGTTTGACCTGTCTAATTGATAGACACATATATTTAAGTGATAGACACATATGTCCTTCGAGTGTTTGTGTCTTTAAAAAAAATTAAAAAGTAAGACACGTTTCGACAAGTGTCGGACACATGTCAGGAAGTGTCCAAAGAGTGTCGGTATCCGACACAGACACGACACGGATACGCCACCTTCTTAAAAGTGTCTGTGCTTCTTAGATAACTACCCACATTGGAAATAACTTCCCACAATTACTAATGCTTTTCATAGCCTCTTAAACTTCTTAGAAAACTCCCCCTCCTAACAATTAGCCTTCATAAGCCTAGCCCTTTGTGTTTGTGTTCATGTTGGGAAAAAAAAAAATCACAAAGGTTTTTCCATTGATTCTTAGGTTTGTAAACTTGCCTTTATAATTTTTTAACTTTTGGATGATTGTTCATTGATAAATTGCTTGCACTTTCTTCTTTCTTTCTTTCTTTCTTTCTTTCTTTTTTTTATACACAATTATCTATATTTAAAAACAAGACACAGACAACACCAACCAACCCACAACCACACGTCTAGAGGTAAAATTCCAGGCTCACACACAGTCTTTTCAATCTCTCTACTATTAATTATAACTCTGACGAGAACCTACTTTAGGTATGTACCATACTTTTTTATGTAAAGTTACTCTAAAAAAGAAAAAAAACAAAATCCAACATGACATACAAAAAAAGGCAGTGAAACTCATTTGCACCCAATTTTTCTTTTATCACGTTAGTTGATTATCAACAATAGCCCATCATTGAGGGCTATCCAGAAGTCTGATCTTCTGCCACACAACCAAAACTTTCTTTTCCACCCATCTTTCATTTTGATTTCAAATATATTTCATGATATATATTTCCTCTATCAATATTATTTATCTTCTGTCACATTATTTATAACTATCTTCTTTGCTTCAACTAAACATTCATGACCCATCAATAAGGTCTTTTGCATCGACCAAAACCAATATTATGTTTTATCTCATCTCAGCTGGGTATGCAATCCCGAGCAGATCACAATTGTTTGATTCACAGAAAAGATAAATAATTGACATAAAGAATTACGATAAAACAAAATCAATGAACCCAACAAGCCACATCCAGGTGGGAACTTTTGTTCCTATTATCTCATACAATACTTGCCTGCTCGGTCTCTAAAAATCAATGTCACACTATTCTTGTCGCACACTCCCGTTCTCGTGGGCAGGGCCGTTTCGTTGTGCGAGTGTTTTGCTTTGCCGTACAAGTTTTTTTCTCTACCCTTTCGTGGCGACTTCTAGTATTTCCAAATTGGTCTTACTGGCTTCAAAGTGACTATTTTTTATGAAAATGGACGACACTCTTGTAGCGACTATATATGTATTTCCAGAAGTTAAATTTACCTTTGCAATGGGAATGCTCCTGTGTCATAAGAGCACATCTGCCTTCGTGCTTCCTGCTCCACCTGAATTCCGTGTGATTAGACGTCTCACAAGGACGGGTCTTCTTTTTGCAGCTCTGTGACCATTCTGGGCACACTCGCTTCTGGAACTCCCTCCAAGATGAATGGAAATTTGTCACAATACCTGCCTACAATACAGATTATCATCCAATTTTGAATGCCTCAGATCTAACTTCAGCCTACTAACAGCAACTGGCTGAAAAATTCTTAAACCTCTCGCGCATCACTCACGGCACTGAACGAGTCAAAATCGTGTCTCCTATCTTATCACTGCTCCTCAACTCAGTCTGTTGTTGAGACAAAAATATTTGAACGTCGACACTCATACGCACTGATTTTTCAGCGCTCCTGCCCTCAGTGTCATATTTGTGCCTATGCAACGCTCTTAACACAAATTTTCATCGTCTGGACAGGGCATGGAGCGTCAGATGGGTAATGTTCATATATAATAATCTCATGTGACAAAATTGCATTCACTGATAAGATCAATTCCCAACTGACAATGCTAGTGATCGACATCATTGACCACTCATCTGTGTTGGTAGTTTTGCGTATTCCTAAATTTTGTTTGCTCAGCGAGAAATTGACGAAATGCAGGATCCCTCCCCACGCTACTGGGTCATTTTCCAGAAGTTATCAATGGCTGAGTTGGCCGTCACATGTTGAGTTATGTGAGTTTTTGTCTACCGCCAGTCATGGTGATACTCCAACGCCACCCCGACCGCATCGGGAAAGTTCAACCGGAGCATAGACGAGCAGCACGATGGAGGTTATATTGGAGTTAGAAGAGTTCACCTTGCCGGTCATCCATCTCTTGAAATGAAGCTCCCTTGAGCGCACGCGAGATGAGCTTGTTTGAGTACTGGTCGGAGTATCTCCTCCATTCAGTGGGGCTTTCTGCAAAAGGTATTAGGAGTCAGTCAATGCACACCACTGCGGTAGCATGAAGGTTAAGGAGAGTCTCCCTAAAATTGTTAGTTGTTTGATTGGAGAGGTTCGACCATAGATAAACATGAGCGAAGGAAAACGAGTCAGAATAATTTTTGGACTAATAATTATGAGTGTTTCAGGGACGGGTTGGGATATACCAAGGGGCCTGTATATAGAGGCGCGAGTGATATCTCACACTTCGCTGTCTCTTCAAGGCGAAACATATAGAAGCCTCTTTTCAGAAGATTTTAGCACAATTTGTCTGAGCTTTATCAGCAAAGCCTCACACCTCCAGGCCGCAAATTGATTTATATAGAACATGAACGAAGAGCAGCGGGAACAGAAAAAACCTCCAAGACGTCTGTCACTCCCATGCAGACCCCGAGCTACTGAGAAAACCCCGATTAAGTCGTATGGTTCACCAAATACTGCAGTAATGGCTGACACCCACGAACGAATTTAATCGAGGTCACCGCACTACACCGCTTTTTATTTGCCTGATAATCTCAACTCAAGACTAACAAAACACAACCAAAACTTCTTCTCTCATATGTCATTAGAACTGACATAAGTTCCAATATATAATATATAGAATGAAAACTTCTAGGCAAGGTTCTTGAAGGATAAGAATTGGTGGAATCTTGACAACTGGATGGCTTTACCCTTAGATAGTCCTTGGAATGGGTAGACAGGGAAGACTTTGATTCCCTCCAAGGATTGGTGCAATTTGAGGCACGTCTTTTGAATTGCACGCCCTTTTGATGGCAACGCCCTTCTTGAATGAGATTGGGCAACGCCTTTTGATCGGCACGCTTTATGAAGATTGGGCACGACCTTTTGAGGGGCAACTTTTACATGGGTCCGACAAGACCTGTAAAACTGTCCGCGAATTGATTCCGGTTAGTTCTACAAGGGTCCGATCAAGACTCTAGTAAACTGTCCCGTACATTGATTCCGGTTAGCCTCCTTCATGGTCCGACAGAAGACTCCTGTAAACTGTCCCGACATGATCCGGTTAGTTTCTACAAGGGTCCAGCAAGACTCGTAAACGGTCACAAACAATGGTCAGAAAAACATTGTCGTAACATCGGTCCGACATGACCCCCAATAAACTTCTGACATCAGGTCGAACACCGCCATCCATGTGTCCTCTACACCGTTATTGGACACCACCATACAGTGTCCTTACTGGTTATTACACCCCTACATTGTCCTCTACACTTATGACACCACCATCCAGTGTCTTCACCAATGGTCTGACACGACCATACAGTGTCTCTTATACTCTTTTATGTATTTTCTTGTTTTGTTCCTCTCTTCAAACTCAAGTTGGGTTAGTTTCTATCCTCCTTGAGTTTGCGGGGGGCTGTTAGAATTTACCATCACCTACCACCACTACCACCTCACCTACTCCACTAATTTACCATCACCTACCACCACTACCACCTCACCTACTCCACTAAACCTAACCCACTACACCATTATCACCATCCACTACACACCATCCACTACACCTACATCTATATAAGGAACCATTTGTAATAGATAGAAAATGAATCAATTCATCAATCAATAATACAATTCTCTATTTCTCTTTATACATTAAATTTCTACAATATATTTAAGTGATAGACACATATGTCCTTCGAGTGTTTGTGTCTTTAAAAAAAATTAAAAAGTAAGACACGTTTCGACAAGCGTCGGACACATGTCAGGAAGTGTCCAAAGAGTGTCGATATCCGACACAGACACGACACGGATACGCCACCTTCTTAAAAGTGTCTGTGCTTCTTAGATAACTACCCACATTGGAAATAACTTCCCACAATTACTAATGCTTTTCATAGCCTCTTAAACTTCTTAGAAAACTCCCCCTCCTAACAATTAGCCTTCATAAGCCTAGCCCTTTGTGTTTGTGTTCATGTTGGGAAAAAAAAATCACAAAGGTTTTTCCATTGATTCTTAGGTTTGTAAACTTGCCTTTATAATTTTTTAACTTTTGGATGATTGTTCATTGATAAATTGCTTGCACTTTCTTCTTTCTTTCTTTCTTTCTTTCTTTCTTTTTTTTTTTTTTTTTTTCAAAATTTGGTTTTTAATGTCTTAGGTGGTTTTTCTTTTGTTGATCAATGGTTGTAGATTTGGATTATATGGGTCTTTTGATTCTAGATATCATGGCATAAGGACTGATTGAATATCTAAATGGGCAAATTTTACTTTACGCCCTTGTGATTTGACTCATGTGGTTTACCACCCTATCATTTAGAGCTAACAACATAACTCTCATGTGGTTTCTGGACTAAAGTGGACAGTTAGGGATTCCGTCCAAGTTAACAGTAAGTGTGAAACACATGCTAGTACATAAAAGGGGCTATGTGCTCATATTTAAATGTCAGGGGTGAAATCACACGTGGAGTATAAAGCATAAAGGCTTAAAGTAAATTTTTGCCTATATGACAAAATGTCCGTAGTTTGCATAGGTGAGGTTCTTTTATGTACAAGGGTAATTTAGTCTTTTTGCTTAATTTGTTCACAGGCCTGACAGGGCACTTTAGTCCATAAACTATATGAGGGTTATGCGATTATTTCCAAATGATAGGGGTTAAACCACACATGGGCCAAACCACAAAGGGGTAAAATGAAATTTGCCATATCTCTAAACTATGTGTATGCATGTGTATCTATAACGAATGAGTATGAGTATGAATGATTTTCAATTTTCAAATAAATTTGAATAATATATAATATAAAAACTGCCCTATAACTATTAATTTTAATCCTTTAAATTGTTTTAGTATTGATCTATGAAGCATGGGCATTTCGACAAATATGTCATACACGTACCAGGTACTTACCTAGTATTAATACTTTGCATGGTACTTCCGCATATGTACCTGATACACGAAACACATACCCAAATCCTTTTTTCTTCTTTTTTGTTGTACCCTAAAGATACCTAGCATTTACCCAAGCCGTATCTCAGCCATAATAGTTTCATTGGACCTTTTTTTATGCTTTGCATGATTTTAAAATTAAGCGTTTCATTGTAAGTTATATAACATAATGACATTTATTTTGGTTTATACATTACTTTTGATATTAAATGTGAATTGTACATTGGATCTTAACCAACTACACCATTTAATTAATTTTTGCATTATTCCAAATTAAAAAATTAATATTTTTTGCTACTATACCCAGCCATACCCATACCCGCACTCTATTTATTTTTATTTTTTTAAAATTTTTTTTACTATATCGACATATCCATATCGTACTAGTTCCAACACCCATACCCATAAATGTGCTTCATAGGTGATTAATTTTTTGTACCAAAAACAAAAGTATTGATTAAAAATGAAAATTCAAGCACTTTTTAATTTACTCATAGACGGACTCTATAACTCGTTCATTTTTCTGAATTACCATCACATAGTAACATCTAATTATAATTTTACTTTTATTTTTTTTGGATAAGTAACATCTAATTATAAAATAATTACAACTATTTTAATTTCTTTACAAATAATTTGGCACACATCGTGTGTGCCTCCCTTCTAGCTTTATTGAGGCCAGAAGCTAAATAGGTACAAAGGTCATGGATATCTCAAAAGGTATAGATATCCTACCTGGGTTTTGCGACAGTGGATTGTCCATAACAGGATCAGGATACGTGTTTCCATCCTTGGGAATATGTGGATCAACTAGGAGGCGGTGCCTCAAACCAGCATATCTAGAAAGGAACACCAATTAGTGTGAAAGTATTAGATAAGCTACATGAAACTGAAAAACTAGTAGTTATTGTAATCCTTCACACAAAACTAAAATTCACTAGTAAATCACCATGACAGCCTGGCAGTAGAGGCTCCCCTGAAGGGCTACTTTCCACCAAATTTCCAAATTTCAGGTTTGCAATCAAGAACACAAGTCATTAAAATCAAAGCTAAATTACAAAATCATCTTTAAGATATCATCCATCTATGAAGCATATTGGGAATACAGGAATCAACGGATGCATTGATATAGGAAATTCTAAAGATGTAGGACATTGATACGTTATGGATGCAACGACATATATGAGGATATATACATCGTGTATGCATGTATATAAATAATAAAGTAATTTTATCTTAACATATATGTAACAAACTATTTGTCCTTGATTTTTTATCAAATACTGTCAATTCCCATATAATGTATTTACATAAATAAATAAATAAAGAAATGGATTAATCACAAACTTTGACCAACTTTGACATGCTTTAATCTCACTATTTCCAAAATTTTCTTCTCTAAGAAGTATGAAAACTATTCTTGCATTTGTTCTAACAATTACACAATAATAATACACAATAAATGCCACAAATTAATTTCAATGTAGGTTTCATATCTAGAAAGTATTAGATACCTGCTCATAATTGGAAAAAAATAAAATAAAAAATATTAATAATTATTATTTCCAATTGTGAATACACTTAGGAAGTATTGGATACATATATGTGAGTATCCACGAAGTATCGATATCCGATACGAGTATGACCCCTTGTAGACAATCAAAGTTCAGAAAGCCAAATTTTCCAGACAGTTTTTGCATTACAAATAAGTTGAAAATTCTTTTGGAGTTTGAGAAATCGTTCCAAATATAATAAGCTGCACACATACTACAAACTCTGGTAAAAAATGCCTAAAAATGCTGAAGAAATATCCATCTATCCATAGACCATAGAATAAAAATGTTCACATGTTAAATTAATTAGAAAGACCTTTAGATTCAGGTCTTGAACAAGAAAAAATATGAAAGGGCAAGAAACCAACAACATTATACAGAAACCATAATTATGAGTCCAAAGCTGACCTTGGACATAGGCTAGCAAAAATCTGCTTTAGGCCCCCAAAGTATGGCTAAAAATAGGGCCCCAAAGAATTTCAACTCTTATACAAGGCCAAAATTAAAAATACACTTATTAGGGCTCAATCAAATGGAGAGACCAAACCAAAGCCAAAGGGTCCAAAAAAAATAATAATATTAATTATCGGCTGCCAAAAAATATGAAGAAAATTTCGAATTTTTGTTTGATCTGGTGTTTATCTTATATATAATAGTTACTGATTGATTTTTTGTATAATATAAAGTCATTAATTATTAAAATAAAATGTAAAAAACTCAATTTTTAGTGATTTAAAAATATGAAATATATTGGATCATACTTAAAAATTTATAAAATTGATCAATATTTATTTTTAACCCAATAAATATGATCATGGAAAAAAAATATGCGTATCGGTAAGTTTTTTTCAAATTGTGCGAAAAATAAAAAAATTCACGGTTCCGGTTACCGCAACCGTTACACTACGGCCTTTACACCCCGCAACCGCGTCACCGCTACCGTTACGGCGACCGCAACCGCTTTTCAAAACCTTGATCAGGAGAATTTAAATTCTACCGATGATAAATGTTAAAAGATTTACTGTGCCAACCTTAAATATTTTCTAAAACCATGATGGGCTTTCTAATATTTCTGGGAGAGATTTAATTTTAGAATTGAAAGTCTTAAAAGAAGTTTTATTGAAAACATAAAAATAAAAATAAGCAATTAAAGTATCGAATAATTTTAAAGTAATGGATAGTTGTTTCTCAAATGCATGGATTGTTTAAAAATATTGTTGACCATGCTAGTGACATTAGAGTTGTCTATGGAAAAAGAACTTTTTCAAAGAATAAGCATGTTCGAATATTATTTTCAATCAACTATGTCACAAGAAAGATTGAATGTATTAGCTATGTTACCCATAGAAAAAGATGACACTCTTGATTATGCTAGCTTAATTAATAATTTTGCTAAAAATGCGAAAAGTATAATGTTGAAGTGATACTTTGCTACATCTGGATAAATTTGTTTTGCTATTATAGCTTTATATATACATACATACATACATATATATATATATATATATATTTACAGTAAAGTAGACTTTGCTAAACTATGTAAGCAAATTTTAGTAATTTTAGTCAAGCAAACTTTGTGTGGGTACTAGCAAATAGTGAAAAAACTTACAACTTACAAGTACTTACTATTTCATCCACAAACTTTAGTTTTCAGTGAACGAAAATATAGAGAGAGCCTCATCTTGGGAGTTTGCTTAGGGCCCCAAAAAGTTCACAGCCTGCCCTGATTTTGGGCTAAGAGGAGCACGAAAACATATATAAACAAACACATACACTAAAAGATTATACCCGGAGGACATTGAATCCTTAATTTCCATAAATAAAATAACAAAGAAATATCACCAAACAACCGTGGGAAGTTCAACAATCTAAATTAATTTTTGCAGACAATAAAATAAAGAACAATTTTAAGGCACTATTTGGCATCCCCTATATTTGCACACTTTTTTATCATATTTTTTTTTGGGTCACATCACCTCTATATTTTTTTTGCACATCTTTCTATAAAAAAATCAAGACATATCCTTAGTTAGATCATCCCACGCACCGTAATGATAAAAAACTGCACACTATAAATGCACTCACATGTAAATAACTAAACAGCAATCGGAATCAAATTGATAAGGAAATTCTATAAACTAAAACAAGCTCATCATGGAAACTTTTACAACAAATTTCAAGTACTTTCAAGCTGACCCAGGTGATCATTTCAACCCATTAACAAAACACAAACGATTACGTAGAGTAATTTCACGAAAACAACAATTTATGCCTCCAAATTACAAAGACATATATATATGTTTATAGAATTCCCAATATATATAATCAAGAAAACATCCATTTATACCTCCGACGTGAATCTGCGGTGACTCGGCGAAGATCATCGATGGAGGAGGAAGGAGGCAAAATTCCCAAATCTATACGCCACTGGACCCCTCTGAGATCTGCGAAACGACGATTCTCGCAGGCAGATCCCTCACGACACGGCGAAGACTCCACCGATAAAGATTTCGGCACAGCCGGCTCGATCGGAGCCGCCGGAGACATATCTTTCCGGTTTGTCCCTCGCAAACCCAGTAAAACTATCCAACCCTAAAATTTTTTTGCAAAACTGTAGAGAGAGAGAGAGAGAGATTTGTGTTGGAGAGAAATGGCTAAATTTGTGGAGGGAAGAGAGAGAGAATGCTGCGTCGTGTCGTGGGTTTGATTTGGAATGAGATATCAGAGAGACAGAGAACAGAGAGATGTGTATGATCCCCTCAACTCACCCAACCATTTTCATTTTCTTTTCTCCACGGAGAGAGAAACACAAGAAAAATAGGATTTTTTTTTTTTTTTTACACCAAGAAAAATTGGCCTACTCTTTTTTTATCAAATTTAAATTTGATAAAAAAAAAATTAATTTTAATGTTCCAACATTATATCAAATCAGTATCAAATTAATTTTTTTTAAAATTTTTCATCAGATTAAGAATGTCTGAAATCTTTCATCAAATTACTGTAGATAGCATTTGAGTTTGCCGGTATACAAGAATACCGGACGCCCAATTGGTTATCGTAGATATCCACTTCTTTACAATTTATTATAAAAAGTCTATTTTAAAATTTGGGAAGTTTACATTGGCCGGTGATCGATCGGACATCCCTCGATATCCTTCCAGTCGATCGATACCTTGATAAAAATTTAAGGCTCTGCTAGTTCCAGAGCTTGTTTTGCATATGACGTTTGTTTATGATTTTCCAAAATTAATTCTACGCTCACTTTTGAAAACTCTGTCAAAGGCAGAAAAATAAAAAATATTTTTCAAAATTTTTAAAATTTTTTATGAGATTTGAATAGAATTTTAAGTTGTGTGTTTGGTTATGAGTTGTAAGTTTTTGTATTAAATGTCATATGTCACATCAAAAATCCCCCACTCAATTCAAAACTCATTCACCAAACAAATTTTTCACACTCAAATCATAATTCTAAAACTCACAAACTCAAAATACAACTATATTCTCAAATCACGTTTAGAAAACTTTACCAAACGTAACCTAAAATTTTCTGTTGAAATGCTTGTTATTAATAAAATTTTTATCCAAATTTAATAAAATAAATAAATAAATAAATGTTGAAGACACTCTTAGAGCATCTCCAATGGTTGTTGCTATACTGCCATTGCTATTGCTATAATTTGGCAATAAATAGTACTATTTTGCCAAATTATAGCAATGGTGCTCTAACGGTCATTCGCTATTTTGGCAAATCTCAACCAACTTTCTCGCCAAGTTTGTAGATGTTGTTTGAATATAGGTTTTTTTGTGATTTTATTTTTATTTATTTATTATCTTTTGTGACATTTTTTTAATTGTTTGTAAAAAAAATTATATATTTATATTATTCCTGACTAAACAAATATAAAAATTTTTAAAAAAATAAAAAGTTTGGAAAAAGAATATTTAATGTCTTTTTATTATAAAAAAATTATCTTCATTTAATGTCAGTTAATGTATTTTATTTTTTTATTGCCTTCATTTCAAAAAATATATTTATTTTTTCATTATACTTTATTGAAAAATTTATACAATTATAAACTAAATTTCCATTATACAAATATAACCTAAATTTTATAAACTAAAATTTCATTATACAAATATAAACTATTTTTTTTTTTAAAGCCAAACAGAGAACAACGGCTCTATCAATTGTCATCACCACTGTCCACATGTGGGTCTTGAATGGTTGAGATGATTTGTGTAGAATCATTTAACATTTTCTTTCTATCTCTTTCATTGTCTCTCTCATTCCCCTCACTCTTAGATTCATCCAAAATTTGTGTAGAATCATTCAACATTTTCTCAGTCTTCGTCTCTCTCTCTCTCTCTCACTCTCAAATTCATCTCTCTTCTCTCTCTTTCTTCGATCGGCGATGAAGAAGATTGAATCTTCTCACTCTCTTCTCTCTCTCACTCTTACTCTCTTCTCTCTCTCTCTCTCTCACCATTTCCTCTTCCCTGTCCATCTCAGTCTCCGTGTCTCTCTCTCACTCTCAGATTCATCTCTCTTTTCTCTCTGTTCGAGCCACAATAGTGTCGATCCCTCTCAGTCTCAGTCTCAGTCTCACTCTCACTCTCTTCTCTCTCTCTTCGATCGACGATGAAGAAGATTGAAACCCTTTGTTTCTCTTACTCCTCTCTGTCAATCTCTGTCTAACTCCAACAATGGATCGGGGATGAAGAAGATTGAAACCCTAATGATGAACACAAAGAAGATCATCCAAAGAACAAAGAAGATCAACCCATTTCTATCAGGTATTTTTTTTCCTCACTGTGTTGATTTTCTAATTATTATTTTTTTAATTTTCTGTGAAATTGGTGAAATTGATTGGTGAAATTGATGAAATTGATTTTAATTGGTGAAATTAATTTTCTAATTTTCTGTGTTTGGAAATTGTTGGATGAATTTTGGAAATTTTGAAATTTGGAAATTGTTGAATTTTGGAAATTAATTGTTTGGAAATTGCTTCAAATTGGTGAAATTAAATTTTTTTTGAATTTTGGAAATTGTTGGGTGAATATTGTTTGGAAATTTGGAAAGGATGATGAAACTGTAGAGTATGAATATTGAAACTCTGTTTGGAAATGATGATGAAAAGGGGAGGGAGGGAAAGAAGAAACAGTTGGTTGAAGCTGACTTGGCAACTTTGGCATTTGCCAAAGATAGCAGCTGCTAAAAGTTGCCATTAGAGTTGCCTTTCTATCCACTGCTGCCATAATTTGGCAATAGCAGCTCCAATGGCACACTATTGGAGATGCTTTTACGTGTTATGTTTGATTCGAAGGTGTGCTAAAGGACAATATAATAAAATAAAATTGAGTGTCCTCGTAATGTTTGTTACATATGCTCCAAATATTAGTGGTGTATAAAACAGGAAAAATAAAATAAAAATGGAAGTACTAAGGCTTGGTTTGGAAAGTGGGTTAGTTTTTCGGCTGTTTGGCTTTTTTTAGCTTGAAACTAAAAAGCTTGGTTTAGAAAGGGCTTTTGGCTTTTTTGACTTTTTTGTGAGAGAAAAAATGTAATGATTATAAGTTGGATGTGATGTTTTGTCTTATTGGGCTAAAAAGCCTATTTTGTTTTATGTGCCTATTTTAGCCAAAAAAAACCTCCAAACCCACTTCCCAAACAGGCACTAAAAGATGAGCGTGCAGGTTTCCCTAAATGAAATTCCAAGCGACTACCATCGTCGTTGTAGTGATGCAGACTCTTTTAAATTTTGGGATATTCTAAATAAGTGCACTTTTTGACTTTTTATGAAATATGGGTTGAGTTTGAATTGATCTGGTAGAGAGATGATGTGATTTAAATAAAATGATATGACTTAAATAAGATAGTGACTTTTTAACTTTTTGGCTTTTTTAGGGGATGCCAAACTTAACCTTATGTTTGACTCTTTAATTATTTTAATTGAGAATCTCCTTAATTCATATTAGAGAATTGATTGATAAGTCTTAATGATGGTTGAGTAAGATTGGACAAAAAATTTCAATTCGGATATTTATTTTTTGAGTAACCCTTACTCTTTTATTATTTTCTCTCTCCACACTTTGAATCTTAATATGAGGTTAGAACCATTAGAAATCTTATTTTTGAGGCTTCCATTTAGACGCAACAACAGTCCAAAACAAAGTTCAAACGAGAGAGTTATACCTATTCGAAATTCAGGTGGCAAAATTGTCAGCATAGTTTGCTCGAGTGAATTTTTGACCACTGAAGCGGTCCATAGACCCAAACAGCTTTGATTTTCAAAAATAGACTGAGATCTTGCAAGCATGCATCCACTGCTCGAGCGCATATTTGACGGCTTGAGCAATCTGTTCTAGAAAATAGAGATCTTGCTAACCTTTAATCACTACTTAAGCATAACTTTGGTCGCTCGAGCGATCTATTCAAATTAAGCACATGATAGATGTCTTTTTAGTTAGGTTTGTTGGCCCACAACCAACTTTTGATGATAAGGGAAATGTAATAAGTAAATGATAGTTTGAGTGAATTCATAACAAAAATCTTCATTAATCATAACGGTGGTTATATTTACATCAAACCATTATCTCATCTTTGGGACATCGCATCTAACCATCTACTATCCCCATTAGTTAATATAATACAAGGAATTTCGCCTCTAATGGTGAGATATAGTTGAAATTTAACAAATAAGTGGAAGTCTCTCTGGCATCCAACTAGATTTTTTATTAGTTCAGTTGGGACTGTCTAGTATTCGATGTCGTATATGATGTTGTAGACGGCATCTTGATCGTAGACCTTGAAACTTATTTTTCCGGAGAAGTAGTTGTGTCGTCCAAGACTTCTGGCCCAGGTAGTTTTTCCTAGTCTCGAAGATCCTTCGAGATAAAGGCAGATTGGGCAGATGGGCGCTGTCCTCACACCTTACAAGATATTTATTAGTGTTGGTGAGGGTAATCCTAAGACCTGAATTGTTGATCCTGATTAGTCTGATAGGTTTCGTATGCTGAAGAAAATGAGATTCAAGCTTGTCGGTGGCAAGAACAAAGAGTATGTTCGACACGGCCTAGAGGTTGTGGATTAGTTCTGTCCAGTAGATGTTTGAATGGACTACAAAGATACGTTGTTAGGAAAATAAATGATCAAGGGCATTGTGGGTATTCTGTTCTGGTTCCTGTTATCTGAGGAGGTGGTGAGTTCTTCATTAGTATGTAAATCGTTAATATTATTTTTGTGTATCCCTAATCTAATCCAGTTGTCCTCACTGTAAACGGAGAGACAACAATTTTGACATAGCTCGTATTTTACAAAATTTTGACTTACAAACAAAATATTATTTTTTGCCCAATTTTTGCCTTCTTTATTAAGAAAAGGAAATGAACTAAAGAGGCTTGTATATTGGGGCCTCTCTTGTCTTTAATGGTCCTTCGAAAATGTTTTTAATTAGGGGTATTTTGTGATGTAATCAATGGGACATCTTTCTTTGTAGAGTGCAAAGAATTGTTCTTCTATTTCTGCTTCTGCAAGAATTCCCCGCCAGAGTTCGTCTCTATTTTTCGAAGGACTTTTCTCCTTGGATGAAAATTCTCTCATTTTATGAAATCGCCCCCTTTTTGTATATATTGCCGACTTGCTGTTGAAAAATGGAGTTTTTCTATATTTTGATGGTAGATCCTTTCGTCGGTTCCCGTGAGATTAAAAAATCTCTGGTTGGAGGTTTGGATCTTTTTTGTGCATTTCACCATTGCATGGAGGTGTGGGTTTCCATCTTCGTGAAGCTCATTTACGACCAGTATGTAGTA